CCTCAGCCTCCCAAGAGTGCTGCAATTACAGGCATGTGCCACCATGCCCAGCAGGGTGTGGGATACTGAAAAGCAGGAACAGCTTAGAAGCTGAGTAATGACTTAGAGATGATGTCATATCCCATCAAATAGCTTCCTGAAGAAAATGAGATGGATTCACCCAGGTCTCCATGCCATGGGACAGAGCCTCATCAGGTGTCGCTCTGTACCTCTCTCTACAGTCCAGGGCTCTACGAGCTGCAGCCCCACTCAGTTTGTTCCTCAAGTTCACCACCTTTCCTTCCTTCACTCGCATGCAGCAGATGCATACTCCCAAATACAACCACAAAGCCAGGACAAGGAGACCTGCGAGCTACCAAAGTCAGCTCTGCCCTTCGACAGATGACCACCCACACAGTGCAACCAGCAGCTTTTCAGATGGGCCATCTGGGCAACTGGATCTCTGTGCAACTCCTGTGCGAAGAATTTTAATTTCTTAGTTAAAGAGTTAGACATATAATGAGTCCCCCTTTAAGAAATAAAATCATTTATTTCCAGGAAAAAAATAAGATTTTTCTATGATCCAGAGCATCTAATTAGCAGGTTTCAGAGAATTCTGGAGCACAGGGATAATTTTTCCTGTGTATTTTCAAAAGATGGGCTGCTTCCATTGCTAGTGCTGGTGAATAAGTAAAGGCCACCAGGCTCATAGTCACCTGTCCATTGTCTCCCCACCACTCAGGACTTGCTGGATCCTGACCCTAACACACAGCTCATCTCTCCAGGTCTCCATTCAGAAGTAAGAAACTACCACACTAGGCCCTACTCTCTGCTCCACACTGCCTAATGCCAAGCCCCTCCGCACAGGGCAGATCTAGGACCCCTGCATCCCAAGTCCAACAAATTGCTCTGGAAGTTAAAGGAAAGATCTGGAGGTCAGAAAATATTCTGCCTGATGGGATCCTTTGTAGCCATTGTTTGGCAACTTTTAAATATACTGGTAATTTGTTTTTGTTTTCTGCCAGTAACAATTTTTCCAAAGCCCATTAAGTTACTGGATTTATTTACAGAGTTAACAGGAAACATAACCAGCCTCGCTGTATTGTTGGAAGACAAAGATCACAGCCCAAATTTGTTCAAGAACTCACTATGAGCAAGTAATTGACCTCTTTTTCAACAGAAAAATGGGGTTCAAACATAACAAAGGTGACAGCATCGAAACACGAGCTGTAATGCACTTCACAAATGTAAGTTAGAGGGTAGCAGGTGAGTTGGGTGAGAGCAGAAGTCACTAAGTCTGTTGATCCTCACACGTGTGACCTACCGCTAGGTGGTTCAAGACATCCTCATCAGTCAGAGTTTAAAGAGAGTTAAACTTTCTCAAGCAATGGAGAGTATCAGGAAAAAACCATGGCAGGGTCTATTTTAAACTTTCAACTGAAGATGGGATGAGATCATTTTATAACAGAATTTTTAAAGAATCAGAATCTGAAAGAACTTTTCTGAAAAAATGCAGTATGGTATCCTGCCTTAGGTAAAGTGCTTTCAACGATAATGGTAAGACACAGTGGTTAAGAAAGCAGCAATTCCAGATAAAACTGTCCTGGTCTGAATCCCACTTCCTATGTGTGTGACTCTGGAACGTGCCAGGATCTCTGTGCGCCTCAATCCTATCACCTGTAAGACAGAGTGTGTAACAGTACCCGTGTTATATGGCCCTAGGGTTATGCTGAAAACTATCAAGCACTTAAAACAGTATGGGGCGGAAGATGCAGCTTTCATAACATGCTTCTCTGGCATATATGAGATCCTGGGTTCAGTCTTCAGTCTAGCAAGCAAAAGCAAAAGCAAAAGTAAAAGGGTGGGTGGGGAGAGGAAATAATGTCTAGCTGTAGTAAGCACCATGTTTGTTTAATAAACTTCTATCTGACAGAATTCTTGGGAATGCTTAAGTAAGATACGTGTATGGACCACATGAGTAACTTCATTAAGTAAGATACGTGTATGGACCACATGAGTAACTTCCTCTAGTCACATTACTAAACAAAGTCAGTATGACTGGAGGAAGTTACTCACAAACCTCAGAAGGGAGAAGGGCCTGGGGTAGGCAGGGGTGTCCAGCAGGAACCAAGGCATCCAGTACTGACTGAGCTTCTCGGGCAAGCTGCCAGGAGCAGCAAATACTGAAAATCAATTAAGCTCCACATAGGCTCCACAGAGCCCATGATTCCAGAATCGTCTATTTTATCTGTAGATAAAACTCAGAGATACTCAGACCACATTGCAGTCCATCAGTGGCTCCATGGCAGAGCCAGAGCTCAAGTCCAGAGAGGCCAGATTTCAAAGTCTGCACGCTGGCAAGTTGCAGGGAGTTCTGGTAACTTCTGTCTATCCAGCTCCTAAAACTGCTAAGACATTCTCTTTGATATCTATTTTTCTTGCTATTAACCTCATTTTTAAAAGTATAAATTATAAAAGTAAGCTCTTTGAGCAGAGGATAAAAGTACTGTTACCAACTATAAATCACATACACACATACATATACAAAAACTCAACAAATTTAACAGAAATAGATTTTCCACATTGCAAGGTTTTGGGCAAAACTATTTTATTATACTGGAAAAAACGTCTTTGGCCTCTTTCAAGATTTTCACACATGTAGACATTTTCTCAAATAGTCAAAAAAAAAAAAACCACTAAAAAACAAGACAGTAGGCAGAGAAAAGGGAGAAACACAGAGACTTATACTTTCCAGAAAGGGTTTGAAAGCAACACTGAAAGAAAATACATCCCTCTTCATTCCAGTGTTCTGCAAAAAGACATTAAAAACACTATTTGTACAAATGAAAACATGTGCAACTTGCCAGAAGAAATACGTTTTTTAACCAAGGAAGGTCTTTTGCTTCTGATTTTCTTCAGAAATGTGAAATTCCATAAAACAGAGTCCTATGACTTTGCACATAAAGATAAATGTGATACTTTGTTCTCTAAAGCTCTTGCATCCAACCAGAATAAACTGATCGCTTTATCATGAAGAGACTGACTATACACCGTCCCATTCACCTTCAGAGGTACCCACAAGGAGGATGCTAATTATGCCTATAAGGTACCACTTTCACATTAATCACTGTGGGCCACTGGAAACTTCCATGACGATAAAGGGCAAAAATACAGCTTTCTTGAAAATACACTCCTTTTCCTACCTGGTACTAGGGAGGCTTCTCTTTCCTGTCCCATAACAGGCCCCTTCTGCATGAAGCCTTGAGGCAAGTATTCCTAACAGAGGAAAATGTGGCCATACTAAGGATGACACAGAAACTTTTATTTTATTTATTTTTTAGGTACAAGGAATTGAACTCAGGGCCTCATGCTTGCCAGGCAGGCACTGTGCCACTGAGCTACATACCCAGCCCCTATCTTTTTGTTTTTTTGAGACAGGGTCTCACTATGTAGTTCAGGCTGGCCTTAAACTCACCGTGACCTTCCTGCCTCAGTGCTGGGATTACAGGTATGTGTCACCATGGCCATCTGATACAGAAATGTTTAAAAATGTCCCCTTACATTTTATCATCTTCAGTGAAGCTGAGGGTCTAAGCAGAGTATAAAATTTCCCAGACCCATGACCCAGGACCACACACATTTTAAGACAATGCTTTCTGTGTAAGCTATAAGGCCTTCTGGTGCCTCAAAACAAGAGCTTGGGATTTTAGTAGTAATGACACCAGCTGAAAAGCCTGTGGGGCTCAGGGTGATCTCAGCTTCCAGAAGCTTCGGTAAACTCGATGGGAAATGAATCTCAGCACTAAGGCTGCTGTACTCCAGCTTTTGCCTTCTCTTCAAATATTTCACTACCAAGTCTATTTTAGCAGTGTTGACTCCTGAGGTTAGCATGTCACTAAGGATTACTCAATTTTAGGTTTCCTGTCCTGTGAAATACTTTACACATGTTATCAAGAGATAATGCACTGCTCACCAGTTCCCTGCTTATCAGTCTTCCCCCACGGCTAACAGAATGTATTCTCTATTTTTCTGTTTCAAAAAATCATCCACCATCACCAACTCAAAAATTAAAAATAAAAGTGATTTTTTTCCCCAAAAAAATCTCTTCAAACTCCTGGTTTCCATGTCCTAAAGGCCAGGATTCTCTGCTGTAGGCCTCTTTGCAGTCTTTATTCCTATCTTTCTCAACGTGATGGCACCACCATTCTTCAGTTATCACAGTACTGTACCTTTCAGACATACAGCATCGGTACCATGATAACCGAAAAAGGACAGTTCAGTCTCTTATCTAGCTGAGCACTTCCTCCCTCCCAATTTACTTCCATAGATGGCCACATAATCATCCTGAAGTGTATCAACACACGTATGCATGTGAACACACAGTGTCAATACTCCAGTTTCCATCGATCTCCTTTCTTATAAAAGAGAAATGCTTCTTTCACTGTGCCATTTGTTTCTTTGTTTCCTTCCTCTTTATACTGTACTCTCTTTAATTCAAACCTAACTGCTTTGGAGAATGTTTGCTTTTATACCTCAGCAATCAATTTCTGCTAAAAACACCCAAACTCACCTCCACAATTTCCTGACTAGCCTAGGAGCATTCCCATAACTTTGTCCTTCTTCACCTTTTTGAGACAGCTAATATTCTATCACCAAAAAGTCCACATAGCATAGCAAGTGAAACTTCTATGAAAAACACGGATTTTAAAAAACTAAGAACAAAATTCAAGTTGTAGAGAACCAGAAGTTTGTCACAAAAATGGAAATAAAATCTAAGAATAGATAAAAGAACTGCCCAATATATACCACGCAAGTTGAATTACACTGGAATGACAGTTGGGAATGAGAAAAGAAAGGAAGGCCAAATACAAAAATAAACTCCAGGTTGAGTGGCAGGTGTTGGCTCATTTAAAAGTCAATACAAACACATGGTCATATGACAGGATATGTATAACACATTTTTGTCATTTTGTGTAAATGTAAAATTAAACTAGATACAAGGTGGAAAGAAAACAACTTACGTATAAGGAGAGATTGGTCCTAGGAGGACTTTGGAAACGTCCTGCTGTCCAAGGGTCATGAGCAGCAAAGCTAGACTTTGGTTGGTTGAGTCTACACATCCACCCTATAAATACAAACACTTCAATGATTAATCACTGTACAAACCAGAAATGGAAACGTGAGGCAAGGGAGGAGACCAAAAACATACTCAGGACCCAAAGAAATACAGTTTTGAAAGAGTAATCACTGTATCAACTAACTTGAGGTTAAACTAACAGTTAACCAACACAATTACAATAACTGAGGTATCAAAATAAACAGATATTCAAATTTCCTGAAAAGAATCTAGAAAAAACTAAAACTTTCCTTAGAAATTGGAGTAGGGGTGGGACATTTTATTGCATAAAAGCAAAAAAGGAATAATGGCTTCTAGTAGATGAATTCCAACGGGTAAGTGCACGCTGCTCACCTCTGTCTAACCTGTCTCAGAGAAACAGCAGCTATAACAAAGGTTTTTTACCGTTAAAACATCTTACATTCTTCCAGCTTTCCTACGCTTACTGTAACACTCTCAGAACTGTTCATGATGCTCTAAACCTGTCTTCTCTACTTCTTCCTGAGTGCCTAGAACCTGATGTGCTGTTATGGACAGATCCTTCCATACTTATTATTATTTTTCCATTATTCCTGGAGTTTTCCCATCTTTTTTCTGTCAAATCAATAAGCAGCTCAGAACTCTTTTCAAAAACTTTCTCCTGAGGCACAATGGCTTTGGTTATTTTTCTTCTTTCAGTCTTCATTTTCTCAATCAGTTTGGATAATTTAAGTTTACCCACTATTGGGGAATAAGTTTGTGACTTTATTTCTGATCATTCTATCTGGGATATCTTTATTTACACAATTTACACTTGCATTATACATCATATGAGCACGATGACCTGGAATTTTTACTACTTTGCACAAGTCACAGCAAAAAATCTAGTTCTAACCCACGGCACATTGCTGTGTGAGGTTGGACTCTGAAAAGAACAGGTGGCTGGCCAGCACTATTTATAGCAAAAATCCCTTCTTTTTTAATGCATGTAGGTTAGGGAACAAATCAACTCGCAGATGCAAATACTCATTCTCCAGTTGTCAGGCTTTATTTAGTAACCCTAACGAGGACATATGAAAAAAAAAGTTTACCTTACTACTCTAGCCTTGATGAAAATCTACTGGTCTTCCTAAATTACCTAAGAATAATGTTCACCTCACTCAGTGAAATTTAGGACAAAAGTTTCTATTCCATCTAAAAAAAAAAAAAAAACAGGAACTCTCATCAAAAAATCTAATTCTGTTCCCCTTCAGAAGATTCCTTAAAATGTTCTCTTTAGTCTCTGCTTCCTGTCCTTGGGCTATTATTGCATCATTTCTAACTTATTCATACAGGTACTAGACTAGTGTTTTAATGCGATTAATATTTTAGAGGTCATGTACAGAGCACCACAGCAGGGAATGGTGGGAACTACAAGATGTCAAGACATGAGGTGCAGGATGTTGGTCACCCAACATTAGAGGGAGGCTGTTTTCACAAAGCAGAGACCTGACCTGGCCCTGGAAAAATGACCAGGCTTTAGGGAGGAAGGAAAGAAGCAAGATGGGAAAAATAATGAATTGGGGGCCAATGCGGCCCAGTCAACAGCCAGGCACAACTGCAGAGAGAAAGTGGTAGTCAGACTGAGGTAGGGGTGGGCTGAGTCAAGAGTTCTAATTTGTATTTCAGGAAAGTGAAGAGCCAGTAAAGTCTCTGCACAAAAGAGTGAAGAGATCAGACCAGTGTTTGGAGGAAAACAGAGGGAGGCTGGATAGGATTTGAAAAGGACTTCCCATTTGGCGGGGAGGAGAGCCAGTTTCCACACATAATCCAGGTCTGGCTGAGGTGGGATGTGAATATGGGTAAGGTGGAGCAAGCAGGAAGGGTGCAAAGTGGATGAAGTATGGAAAAGGACACAAAGAAAAGAGCAGTTCCAGGAAGCCTAATACAGAATTGAGAAAACCTGACAACTGATGAACAGGAGGAACTGGGTCAAAGCCTTAAAACTTTGGTAAACATAAACAGCACCTCCAAAATTATTGGGATTTTGCTGCTCATTCAAATCACTTGCATCACAGATCTGTAAAGAATTATTTAAAAGGGCATGAAGTTTTTCCACCCTTCTATTAATTAAAGATCACTGACAAACTGACACACAAAGGGAATTTTCTTAATGACAAACAAAGTACATCTGACCCAGGAACAATAAAGTGGTTTAATGAAAATCTCAATTAAAAAAAAGAAAATAATAATACCCAAATCCAGACTACAAGATTTTCCTCCAGTGGGCTGGTGGGCTGTCCATTCACCCTAAGGCTAATGCTCTGCTATTTATGGGGCACGAAATCCAAACTCTGGCTGTGCCAATGGGATCCCACTACACAGCTCTGCGATGTGATCCTTTCAGTTCTTCCAAGATCTTCTAGAAAGGGACAGAAGTCTGCCAGTTACCAAAGGACCAGGAAAAGGAAACCTGTGCAAGTCAACAGTGAGTTTCCCTGAGCTCCCACAAACATCATGCACATCTGTTTCCCTTACCATGTGCAGACAGCAGATTCCATGAACTAACAGGTAGAGCAACCTCTTCATCATTTGCCCTAGTTAGTACATACCTCCCTCACTCTAAAATTACTAAACTTAGCATCAAAAATGCACTGTGGCACTAAATTTAGCACCAGAAAAATCTGTGGCAGACTTTGCACAAAATCCATGTCAGAAAACGTTCACCATAGGATTTCACCTCTTTCCTCTACCACTTCCCAACTCTTGGGGGAACACCTGTAGGCGCTTTATCTCCCCTTCTTAACTAAATGGACAATAAAGAGCATTTAGAAAATCTAATTTTAATTAATTCTAAAACAGTTAATTCTCACTTGTCTCTCTTGTTCCAAAGGACACATTTTCAGGAATACTGTCTAGGATCTGGGGAGCAGACTGTGCCTGCAAGCTTCTTCTGAGCAGAACCTGTGATCTAGTCTTCTCTCTCACACAGGAATTGATAAACAGAACCAATGGAAAAAGAAGAACTAAAAGAAAAACATAAGTTGCCACTGAACCCACTTAACCTAACTACGGGACTCAGTTATGATTTTTTGTTGTTGCTCCCAGGAGACTCTTAAGAACCAGGAAAAACACATAAATAGGAAGATATAAAAAAGGTTCTCAGATGTAGAAGAGAGTCAATTTACTAATATTATATACCCTCAAACAGCAAGCAACCCAGAGGGTAGTTCTCATTTGTGCTCAGTTCAAGAGTATGAAGCCTGGCTCTCCAGAACATAGAGATGGCCTAATTGAACTCTGCAAGGGTAGGAAATGATTTTTGCCCACCTTATGTAAAACCAAGGCAAAAAAGGTGCAGACTCAGCAACATGTACCTATAATCTAGCACTCTGGGAAGCTAAGGCAGAAAGATTACAGGTTTGTACCTGGTGGGGGCAACTTCATGAGAATCTGTCTCAAAATATAAAACAAAAAGGGCTGGTGTATAGCTCAGTGCAGAGGACCTGGGTTCTGTTCCCAGAACTGAAAGAAGTTTTTTTTTAAAAAAGAGGGTATAGACTAACTGAAATCTTTAAGCCAGGTTTGTGGCCTCCTCTAACCAAGTAGGCAGAATCTCAGAGAATGTTATCTTCAAGTAACTGCACTTATTCCTCCTGCCACCGTCTTCCCTTCCCTCACAATTTCTTCCTTACTGTCAACAGTTCCACTGTTTTAGGGAAGCAGTAAAAGTGTGTGCAGGCTTATGCACATCTCGCATGAATAAACTGACATAGACTATTGCCACTGAGAAAGCAGGGTGATGTGAGCTGCAGAAGCACATGGTAAGGGCTGTCTTCATTGCTGCGGTGCTCAGTCTCCGGTCCCAGATTCTTACACTTTCCAAAGCTACCACCACACTGTGACACAGGCTTTCCTTCCTTAACATTCCTCTGTGCTCTAGAATATGCTGCAAAGCATAGCCTGTTAAGATTATTTTACATCTGAATGAACTGCCACACACAAATACAGATTTCAAGCTGTGAAAAATCAGAAAGCAGTGATTCCCCACTCCCATAACAACTGGTGGCACTGAGAAATGGTTCCCTATTTGGTCAGCATGACATGGTAATTACCACCTTCACCCTACCTGCTTTATGTTCTTCTAATCTTCATTTTATTTCATGAGTCTGTTGCAGATCTCTCCTCTGCCCCATTAAAATGTACCTGCTCTGTGTCCCAAACCAGTGAAGCTGGATTTCTGCTGACTAGTTCAACTGATCCAGTTAAGGCTAAATCGTTTAAAGCATATATGCACAGGTTAACTCCTTGGCTTATATCCCTGAAGAAGAGTAAGAATGAGGACACCAAACTGTTCTTTCCAGACTGCTCATCTCTGAGCACCCAGAGAGGCTGAGGATATACATACCCTGTGGATCTCCTCAAGCAGCAGCCTGGCACAGTTCCTGCCCAGGTCCTCAGGAAGCACAGCTGTGCCCTGGCCCTGGGGGTTGGAGGCCAGTTCAGCACTGAGGAAGGTGCCATTGGTGGTCTCAGCAACCAGTGACAACCCAAAGCCTGGAGACCTGGGGATTTGAAGGCACAAACACTGAGCAGATAAAAGTACATGCATCAACAAATAGAAAGAGAAGACAGACACCTTTCTGATGGCATTTGGACTTCTTTCTGGTTCCCTTAAGCCTTATTTGCAAGAGTGACTACTAGCTCACACTAGAAATGTAGGCGATTACTGAGACTACACAAGATAGAGCCAAGAGGGATGCTTTGCTTTCCTACTAGTCTTCATTTCCGCACTTTCTCCCTTCCCACTTACACTGCAACAGTTCTTACTGCAAGAGTTTTCAATAATGAACCATATATGAGAATGCTAACAGGGCTGCCAGATACTGAGAGTACCTACTTTCTGCCAATTATATGGGCTTTGTAAATAATACTTATAAACTCACAACTACACAGAGTAGTTGTGTAAAATGAAGTTGGGTCTTCATTTTACAAATGAAGAAATGTCAAAATTAACAGGCTGGCACCAAGTCCACACAACTAGAAAGTGAGATTTTGTTTCAAATGCAAGTCCTAAGACTCCATGAACAAAGCCATGTACTTAGTTACAGGTAATTCAAAAGGTATAAAGGACCTGGAGACCACCCAGCTCAAACTCTGCTTGTGAAACACTGTACTGAAACATATGACACAGCCCACAAAGGCCCTAGAGAAGGCACACCTCAAACTCAGAATTTAACTAAAATGAATGAGCTGGCACTATGATCTCTTCCAGTGTGTTCCTACCATCCAACACCCAGAACCAAACACTCCTTGTCCAAGACTGCAGGTGATCCATTCACTCATGCATCCAACAAGTACCTGAGGGAAAGCTTCCAAGAATCTGGAACCTCAGGTTCCTCAGTAACCCAAGAGTTCTTGTCCTCACAGAACCTGGTAACAACCACTTGAACCACAAAAGAAAATCAGCCTACAAATAAGCAAAATAAGAATCTCTCCACAAAATTCCAAGATGCTTCAAATTCTAAGATGCCTCAAATCTACTGTTATGGTTTGTGTCTAGATGTTCCCCCCAGGCCTCATGTGGTCATAGGGGTTTGGGTTTTTTGGACAGGGAGGGATGCTGCTGGGCATGGTGGCACATGCCTGTAATCCTAGCACTCAGGAGGCTGAGGCAGGAGGATCATTGCAAGTTTGAGGCCAGCGTGGGCTACAAAATGAGTTCAAGGCCATCCTGATCCATATGTAAAGCTTCTACTTGCCATTAGCAGTATGGAACCTGATGATGCATTATGGTCAACTGAGCCAATGGCATTATTAAAAAGCCACATTATAGCTAATGGGAGGCAGCATGGCTTCAGAGCTGCTCTGCTTCATTATTACCATTCTTTGGTAAAGCTAAGACCAGACAGAGAAAGCACCCAGGCATTCAGGCAGATCCTATAGCTACCTAGCCTCATGAAAGTCAAAGATCTTTACTCACACTCAATCTCTCTCTCTCTCTCTCTCTCTCTCTCTCTCTTTCCCTCTCTCTCTCTCTCTCTCTCTCTCAATTTAAAAGAAACTCTGGGTGCAAAAGCTACGAAAAGGATCAACTCTGGTGCCATTTAGGAGAAAGATGACTTCTTAACATACAGTAGCTAACCTTGGACTCTTCCATTTTTAGGAGACATGACCTGAAAATTTTAGATTCAAAATACAATGTCATCACTCATACTAAAATGATTCAGCAACAAAGAAAATCCAGTATGAACTAAAGCAGATGTAATTATAAGCGTGTCCACTATACTATTCCTTCAGTTTTTCTCTAGATTTTTGTAATCCTTAAATGCCTGTTTTCTAAATATACAAACAATCTGTAAAATACACTTTTATTATATAGATCATTGTTTGATTTTCTTTATAATTTTTTAATTTCTAATTTTAAAAGTTTTAGTTTCTATTGATTGATTGATTGATTGTTGATGGCAGGTACAGTTTTAAATAAACCAAATTGAAATCTGCAACAACTTTCTCTGGATCTAGGAGCATTTTTCCCACAAATGGAGAGAAAAGCTGACTTGCAATTAGATAGCAAAGGATTTTCTCCCATTTTCTATTTGCTCAGAGTGGAAGAATTCTGTCCACTTTAATTTTTTGTTGGGACAGAGTGCAGATGGCATTTAGGACTTGAGGCACCATTTATTAATAGATAGGTTTAAATTCTCCAAAGATAAGTACTGGACCTTGGCTCCCAGCACTAGCAATTGGGATACTTTCTATGTGACAGGCACTCAAGAAATGCCTGCTGGTGACAAGAGCAGTGAGTCAGAAAGAAATGAATTCTGAAGTCATTCTGCAGTCTAGCCTCCAACCTGGTAGTTTTAACCTCAGGACAGCATGTTAAAAAACCTTAGGCACCTGCCGAACAATTTTCCAAAATGATGTCACTTACTTCCCAGAATTGACTCCTTTCATGTGGTCTGTGTAAATATAGATATCAGGTATGAACTTGTTTAAGATGCTCCTTGCAGAATCCACAATCCGGTTTGCCATCTGAGGTGATACACGTACAGAGTACCTGCAAGCTGGAGTTAAGGATGTCATGCTACTTAAGAAACTAGGACAGACAAAAGTCACTTTTAAAGCTTGCAAATATTTTTGGAATAACAACAAACAAGCTTATAATTCCACTGTTTTCCAACTGTATTTAATTAACTATCTTTTAATACCATAACTCAATTATTTTTCATTCTTACTGTTAAAAGCCTAAATGTTCATGATGGAAAAATTATAGAGAATGGAAAATATGAAGTCAGAGTTCCCCAAATCTGACTTTATATTTTCCAAGTCTGACTTCCTACTCACATTTTCTCTAGAAATAGTTCAATTCTTGAAAGAGTAAATACGTCTGCTTCTCTGAAGGTCATGATCCAAGTTCTCCCTCACTTTTTATTTCTTCTTTTTTGTTTTCCCTATAGTGCTGGGGAGGGGGGAGGTAGAACCCAGAACCTTGCTCAAGCTAGGTAAGCTCTAACTGCTGAGCTATACCCTCAACCCTAGGCTCCTTTTAAGTACAACTCCTGAGAACACTTTCCTATTCTGTCTATTCACACTCCTTAAACTAAGAAATCTCCCTTAAAAACCTAAGGCCAGGACAGACACCATGCCAAGGCAGACCAGGACCAATCCCAACCCAACTTCTGGGATGGTAACAAAGGAAACAGAAAAATGTTTAGTGAGAGAGTGCAGTGGCTGCTGTTGACAAAGGTCTAAACAAGTTTTTCCAACTTACAGAGCCTATTTTCTATCACATAAGAATTAACTACTCCATTTGTGTATGATACTTCCTATTACTGATAATTATCAAAAATACTGATAACTGGCACTTTTACAAGATACCATAGGGGAGAGGAAAAGGAGGAAGACATTAGTAACCAAATGAAAAGTCGGGTATTTGAGGATTAGAGACACTATAACTCTTCCTGACCCCATACATCAATCTAAAAGTTAAGTATTTAACACTTGTGATGTGCAATGTCAAGAGCTATACTGTAGGACTAAAACACAGCTCTCGCTACCACCTTGATACAAATCCACATGCAAGTCCAACAAATAAAGCAAGGTGTGTATCTGTCTGTTTCAGCCCAGCTGAAACCAGGACAGGACAGCCTAGCTAATCAAGAGTTACTGTGAACAACACATTTAATTTTCATGAAAGCTACCGAAACAAAATATATGTAAGGAAGTTGACCTGGTGCCTAGCTTCCCTGTTTGACCCCTCACAGACACTTCACTCACAGAGCAGTCTCCCTGGTGCTGAGTATTTCAGTGACTCCTAGCCTCTGCATCTTCAGTTTTAACCCTTCAGCCTGCTCAGCGTGATCATCCGCAGTCCAGAACACATTCTAACTGTCTAAATGCTTCAACCTGAATTGCCTTCTCCCATTCTTCCAGCCCAGAGTTCCCCCTCTCTCCTGACAGCCTCCAGCCAGCATACAAGTATAACCTGAACTCACCGTACAGCGTCTGTCTTCACATGCACACATTGTGCTCTTATTCTTCAAAGAGACCATACAAAGGTAGGGGCTTTACCTCTGTATCCCTCAAAACTCTCTAATATACTACTTTTGTCCTCAAAAATGCTTACAAATATTTAACTTGACTCAAAGGACAAACCTGAAATGAAGAAAGAGCAAAGAACAATTTTTCAATACACACACAGAGCTCAGTTACATCATCTCCTCTTCTGGCCAGGACGTACTTTTGACCACAGACATTTTAAACAAACAGCTCTGAGCCTCATACCTTTGGACCCAGTGGTGCTGCCCTTCTGAGGCCTAAACCTACTCACACTCTCCGGAAGAGCTCAGAAGATGTCACTATCCTAGCACAATCCTAGATTCAGAACTCCCAAAGTTCTTTCACACACATTATTACTTTGTTTTATGCCCACAGCAACCTTGTGACAAGAGCTGCAATTTCTAGTTAGAACTAAGATACACACACACAAAAAAAAACTCACACCAAAACCCACCTAAGATATTTACTCAAAATTAAACTGATCTGACTTTCAAAAAATATTTTCCTTTCACTCTTCCATAGATAATAAAAACTGGGGGGGGGGTGTTATAAAAGAGAAAGAGGGGAAAAAGGGAAGGGAGAGGAGAGGAGAAGAGAGGAGAGGGGAGAGGAGGTAGAGAGGGGGGAGGGGAGGAGAGAAGGAGAGCAGGACAAGACAGGACAGGACAGGACAGGACTTTTCCTACAGTCAAATAAAGGAAAACATCTCCACAAATCCTAACTCACCCTCTTCAACTACTCCTATCCCAGCTTCTTCATCTAACTCTCACTTATCAAATCATAAGCTCTGGAACAGCGTCATAGACTAAAACACTGTTCTTTTCTTTCTCACCTTGCATCAGGCAGTAAGGAGAATCAGAGTGGGTGGCATTCAATTAAAAAGAAACTTACTGTCTAGTCACAGCTGCTGGCAGAAACCATCGTCAGCGCCCTCCCAGGCCCTGGCCAGTCAGTCACCACTCTGCAGAATCCAAGGGGAAAAAGATGAACTGGGGTGGGGTGGGGGTAATTGGCTAAAACCAGTTCTCTCAGCTCAAGTCCTCCTATGGGGAAAAACAACCCACCAACCTCATTTTAACAGTCAACCAGTCTTACAAGTAAAAAGCCACAGAAACGAAAAGTTTTTTCCAAAGACAGCTCTTTTTTTCCCCAGGCTCCAAAACTGGCAGAGAAGGTGATCACTCAAACCCACATTCCTTCGACTGTTTATTAAACGGGCAGCTCTGCTGACCAGCAGCTGGAACATTTGGTCTAGAGACAGGAGTTTGAGTAAGACGCTATGTTCGGTTCTCTGGGGAGTGGACAGAAAGCCTCTGCTACTCAGACAGGAGGCACCAGGGATGGTCTGGGGGTTCATTTCTGCCTCGAGGAAGGGAAGGCTTATGAGGACCTCCCTCCTGGCTCACATTCTACACAGGGAAGTTTCAAACACTAGCAGGAAAAGTCATGGAGAAATAAAGCTCTCCCCAAGGGACCAGACACCAAAGCTCTTCCAGTTTTCTTTTATGTTTTCCTCCATAAAATCCTGGAGGTTCCTCCAGTCTCAGAACCATTATCAAAGGACTACTCATGAGGTTTTTACAGACATGGGATACAGAGAACACAAGTGCCATCTCAGCTTAAGGACCTTTGTGAAACCTGCATCATTACAACAAAATTTTGTTAAAACAGAACATACTACTCGAAATCACATTTCCAAACTATAGAGACCAGATTCCAAACAGAATTCACTGCTATAACAGACCAATAAGGAAACACACCTCAAACGAGGGCAAAAAAAAACCTTGAAATGATTAGACATTGTGGTCCACACCTATGAGCCCAGCACTCAGGAGACTAAGGCAAGAGGGTCTCATGACTTCTAGGCCAGCCTGGGCTCCACTGTGAGTTCAAGGCCAGTCTGAATGATACAGTAAGACCCTATCTGAGAAAAAAAGAATTTTTTAAAAACCCTGAAATCATCCTTAAAAGCATATAGGATTTTGTATACAAAACCAGCATTTTTTATAAAAGTGAAAAATGAAAAACAACTCATGTGCAGTAAACGTGATTTGATTTTTTAGTTCCCTATATAGTGGCATACAATGCTAATGAGATTCAACTGTAAGAGACTGCCATAGATCAGTAGAAAAGACATATTTAATTTTAAAAAAAACAACCAGTCAACATGTATTTCCATTTCTTTACAATCTTCTCCATAACCTCATTCCAGGTCCTCATAGCAAAGACCATCAGAGTTCTTACCACCTGGTCACCTGGTCCAATCAACTCTGCATTGAGCTGAGGTTCCCAGGACAGGAACCACTGCCCACCATGTGCTATACACTCCTCATACACACAAGGCTGAGCTCTTAGGTGCATCCCAGGACAATCACGCAGTAAATGGACCACAGTCTATGCATTTTTATATATAAACTTCTGCTCTTGATGATTCTTACAAAAAACTCCACACAGAACCACAAGTTTGATCTTTCATCTCAACAACCACTACCTCCACCTCACAGCTGGGCACCTACTCTATTCCACATCCTCCACCGCTTGCTGTTGAAGTTAACCAAGGCCTCTGAAAAGTCCATTCACACCACACTTACTTTCCTATGAATAAAACCATCTCCCAACCTCCTGGGAAATGCAAATCTGAGTTTAAACACCCACCCTATAAGAAGTATGAATTCCCTCTCTGAAGGGCACAATAATTGGGGAGGGGGTCTTTTGAGACAAGGTCTCCCTTTGCAGTTCAGGCTGGTGTTGAACTTAATTTTAGCCTAGACTGGTCTTGTACTTACAACAAACCTTCTGCCCCCATTGCCCAACTGCGGGGATCATGGATCTGTGCCACCATGCCTGACCAGGGCACAAAAACTCTTGCACCAAACTCTTGCAAATGGTTACATGTGCACCAAAGTGGTTACTATTAAGTAATGATTTTGAACTCATAGCTTCCAAATTTTGTACATGGGCCAAAGTTTCTACACTGCGTCCAAAGCTGCCCTCATAATCACAAATTTACGCTCCAGATGAAAATTACTGGCTCTGGAATAAACCCCGCCTCCTCAGCATGACTTTCAGCTTTTCACTGGCTCCTGCCTGCCCTCACGCTTCATCTTCTCCATCAACTGCTACTGGCCCTCTCGAATCCTAGTCATGCTTCACTGCTTGCCCCTGCATAGGACAACAGTACATCATTACATCCACCAGACCCACTTCTCTGCCTAAAGCAGTCCTCTCCTCCTGCTCCACTTAATAAGCAAAGGCTAAAAACCTGGGCTCAAGAGTCAGACTGAGAGTTTAAACCCCAGCTCTGCCATTACTGCCATATAATGTTATTAACAAATTCCTTGAACTTCTCAAGTTTCAGCTTCCCATCTATAAAACAGGATGTAAGTGAATTTATAAAGTGATCATCAAAGTACACAGAATAAGATTATAACTATTATGCTAATTATTATGTTAGTCCTCCTAAATCCTCCAGATAAAACTGGTCATTTACTACTCTCAGCTCCCTTGGCCCTCTACACATACTCCTATATTGTTTTACAATTTATATCAAAACTATGTGTTTGCATAGTTAGTTTAGTAATCAGATAATGGGCTCTTCCGAAGCAGCGAGGGAGAAAGGGAAGAAAGGAAGGAGGAAGGAAGGGAGGGAAGTAGTACGTTCATGGCCTCCAAACCAAAGCACTAGGGGGAGTATCTCATACACAGGAGCCATTTGCTTAAGTATTAACCAGGGGACATGATGAGCAAATCAATCTAATCATGGTGAGACAGATAAACACATCTCAACTACGATACTTTACTGTTAAAATTTTCCCAAAATGGAATCAACCTCAGGAGGAAGAAAAGTGGTTAGTCATTCTTATAGAGCCAAGAAAATAAATAAATCTAAATCCAAGGCAAAGGATACGCCATTCCTCTGATACGTTTGATTTTTCCTGGATCTGTGAGCTGAATGGGCTTCAGGACCTTCCTGACTGGACATGAGAAAAACACTTCACCTCCACCTCCAGGAGGCATTCCTCTTCGCACAATCTGCACAAAACAATTGGAGGGGTAGGGGGATAAAAGCAAGATGCAACAAAGCAGAATTCCCTTGGCACTCATCCCAGAAAGATTTTATCTAGGGCTCTTCCTCACATGACAGATAGCTCTTCCACAGTCAACTTGCTAAGCCCTTCAAAAGTAACAGCACCTCATGTAAGCTGCAAGGGGACACGCTTACCAGCAAGTTAGAATCAAACTGGCTCTGCCTCTCATCTACATAATCCTGAGCAGATCACTTCGCCACCAGAATCTATTTTTTCATTCTAGTTCATCAGCAGATCTGCTTTCAACAGCAGATCTCATTTCTTAACCATCAGGAATACTTTTTCTTCTCCCATGCAAATAACTAATATATCAAAACCCTAGGTAACTCCCCCCAAAAAAGATATTTCCAATATTTAAAAATATCAATTTAAAAAATGGAAATGCCAAAATAACACAGGGTTACCATACTGGGTTGATATAATTCTTTTCAATAGCAAGCAGATGCTTAAATCACTTTAAAAGACTCTGAAATACTTAAAATTCTCAGGGACATATTGGTTGGGAGCTCTTGGACACAAATTATATCTACATAGATGATTTAGATCAGAGACAAAGTAGGGCCAAAATCCTCAGCTGCTCTCTTATCTAACTGACAGAGTTACTGTGAAAAGTAAGAGTCAATAGTATAAAATGTTTACAATAGTACCTACTACAAGGTATCTACCACAAACTATGGGAAACATAATTACCAGCTACTATTGTTATCACTAAAGTAATTACCAACTATTATTGTTATCACTAAAGATTCTCTTTAAATTTAGAATCTACAGTATCAAGCTAGCATAGCAGCACACATCTGTAATCTCAGAACTCAGGAAGCTGAGGCAGGAGAACTGTCTTGAGTCTGAGGCCAGCCTGGACTACACAGTGAGTTCATGGTCAGCCTCAACTATGTAGTAAGCAAGACTCTATCTGGAAAAAAATATAAACACACACACACAAAGTCCAGTGTTTATTCATGAGCCCTATGATCTTCTGATAAATGGCGACTTCAAATGTGACACACAAACACACACTGAGCCACAGAGCTCTTCTAACGAGTCGGGAAGAAAATGTTTTACGCAGATACATACAGCCAGCAGTTCATATACTCTTACCTTTAGTTCAAAGGATTCACCATCAATCCCAAACTGTTTCAATAGAGGGAGAGCTGTTGCCTTAAGAACATCAACCTATAAATTATTTCAGAACAAAAAAAAGTGTAATTGAGTCTTGGGCAGACAGAAAAAGTCCAAGAAGCAGGCAAGGTATAACAACCAGGTAGATAATACAGTTTGGTAAGGAAAATGAATGCTGGCTTTGAACTGCTGTGCTCCTGAGGAAAACTGAGATTTTATTAGCCAGTACGCTTCTCTGAGTCTCATTTTTCTCACTGATGACATGGAGAGGTTCTTGAAGTTACCATGAGCATCATGCAAAAGGATAGAGAAAATTCTGAGCTCAAAGAAAAACAAACAGACCTCTGTACATTTTTATTGGTATAGACACTACAGAAGAAAGTATCAGCCTGTTTTATTACATTTTCTTTTTAATGTTTGAGCGAGTGGCATTCTGAAACAAAGCAAACTGAACAATTCAACACTAGCCTAAGAATATGGACACAGGTGGTAACTCCACATGGAAGAGTGCTATGGTGAAGCAATGACAGCCTCAAACTACAAGAAGCAGCACAAGCCCCAAACTGAAATTACAAAAGAATCCACAGTTAATGGCAAGACTTTGCCAAGTGCCACTATTATCTCTTCCCTATTCAAAGCTCCTAGAAAGTGTTTAATATGCATTTATGGATTCCTTGTACAGTATAAGGATGACATTCCAATTATGTATATCCAACAAGTCAGTGCATGTTGTTCAACTACCACATGGGAAAGAAAACTACTCTTTGGCTTGTTTTCAATGGAGCAGAACATTCCTCTCTTGGCCCTGGTGAGGCTGACCCAATCAGAGCAGTGAGAACTGGCAGCACATGCAGAACGTACAGGAAAAAAAAACCCTAGTCCTGGTCCAGGTTCTGCTTCTAATTATCTGTGTGGGCTCAGACAAAAAAGTAACAATTATCTGAATTTCTTTTATTTTATTTAACATAAGGGCCACAAGCCTAGCTGTATTCAACCTGTTAACAATTCTCAACAGGCTGGCTCAACAATGCAACGCTATAGAAGAAAACAAGCCCCAACTAAACATCAAAAGTTAACAAGAAGTAGAAATGGCCTGTAAAACCTGGAACATGTTCACAATAGATCAATTATGGCAAGAAAAGCTATTAAAGATTAGATAGCTTCAACTAAATATTAAAGCTAAATATACCCCAATATAGTTGTGCATCACTTAAGAGTGGGATGCGTTGTGAGAAATCCATCATTAACACGATTTCATCCTTGTGAGAACATCATAGTATCCTTTTTTCTTTCTTTCTTTTTTTTTTTTGAGACAGGGCTTCCCTACAGAACTCACAATCCTCCTGCCTCAGCCTCCTAAGTAGCTGGAATCATAAGCACGCACTACTGCATCCAGCTGAGTGTCCTTATGTAAACCTAAATGACACCACCTATTACAAGCTTAAGCTAAATGATTTAGTCTTTTAATTTTATTTTTATGTTTTACTTTTAAACTTATTAAAGACGCATGCACACACACACACACGCGCACACACACATACACACACGCACGCACACACACACACACACACACACACACACACACACACACATTAGCCTAGATCTACACAGGGTTAGAATCATCAGTTTTAGGGGCTGGGGATTTAGCTCAGCGGCATAAGTGCCTGCCTTGCAAGCGCTCGGTCAGGAGTTCGATCCCGGGTAACGATTTAAAAAAAGAAGGATCATCAGTTTTACCCACACTGTGTCCCCCTAGAGGGTCTTTGAGGGTACTAACAGGTGTGAAGCACCACCTCCCATGGTAATAATGCCTTCTTCTGGAATCTCAAAGAGCTGCTTAATGCTATTTATCATTACCTTTTTTTTAATAAGTAGAAGACATACGGTTTAAAATAACAAAAGGATATCCTAGCCAGGGATGCAGCCTAGGGTAAATCCCAACAAAAAGCATGTGTGCACACACGTGCACATGCACACATGGACACAGACACACAGAGCGATATGGCATAGTAAATACATAAACCAGTAACAGTCATTTATTATTTTTATTATACACTATACATAATCATGCTAAATTTTATACAACTGGCTATGCAGTAGGTTTGTTTACAATAGCATCAACAAGCATGAGGAATGAATTATGCTACATTAGGATAGTTGTAGGTTTAGCATAGCTATGATGATGCCACTAGGCCACAGGATCTTAAGGATATATGTAGTAAGTTTATAATGTAACACAAGACTTAAAATGAATTTGAGATTGGTAGAACCAAAAAGAGTCCAAACTAGAATTAAGAGCAAAGATGCAAGGATGTAGTTTACCCTGCAACTAACAGAACCAGTTCTCCTGGGAAAAAGAAAGATGAAAAGATAGAACACCCCTTTTGGCACATCGTACCTATACCCTGAGTCATAGGAGACACAGTCAAATTTATTTTGAATCAGTCAAAAGTCCAAATGCCATGCTATCTCCTAATCAGTCCCCATCTGACATGACAGACTCGGTGCAGAGGAATAAATGCTATAAAAGTAGATGGGGATTCATTCTGCCCAGGGCTTCAGTTTCCTCCTGTATTAAGATGAGAGGCTGGGCTGAGGACTCTACTCCCTTCTCCAGCTCTGCACACTTTAGACTTAGCAGAGTGAGGATGATCTGCAAGTTCTGCCACAGGGAAACTGAGTCCTCACTCTGTAGAGAGCCAAGGCAAACATCTCACCAAGTAGTAGCTTAGGGCAAAGGCAAATACCATTACTGTGCAGTCAGCAAATAGGCAACAATGCGAACAGATCGATATCAAATGACAAAGGAAAGAAGTCCACTCTCAAATTACCTAGTCTAAGCAATGACAAGAATACAGGTTGGCAGAAGACAAACATGGATCACATGTGTGCACACACTGTACACCTAGAATAACGCTCAGCACAATACACACTGCATTTCTTTTCTCTTTCAATGATGAAACTGGAAGAACAAAATATTCACCCTTCACCCAGCACATGACCAGCCTTTTGGCACCAGCAAATATTTACTGGAGACTTTGTTGTCACACGGTTGAGATTCAGAAACCTCCTGAAAATTTTCTTCTCTAAATTTCTTATCTTCTTGCCTCCAAGAAAAAAAAAAAGAAAAAGAAGTTCCTAGCCCTGATAAGGTCCACCCCATAACTTCTGTACTTCTGTGGGCTAAGTATGCTATTTTTTATTTTAATCTTTTCCTTCTCCATAACAGCTTCTCAGATTACAAGCAGGCTGACGTTTTCTTTAGTCCTAAAAACATTCCCAATCTCAGTTCTTGAGAAACCATTCAACCTAAGTGTCTGGAAGAATCTCCAAACTTTCTGTGGCTCTAAATCCTACTTACTTCTCAGTCTGTAGTGACCACTACACTCCAATGACACTGCTGCCTCAGACCTCAACAAACTTCTCACTGTCTAACTTGACTCCTGTGCAAAGAAAGACTTGAAATCATTCCCAGCTTCTTAGAACTGCACTGCTGTTTGGATTCTCCAAACACTTGTATCTGCCTCTTCTTGCTCCTCTTCCACCTTGCACACTCATTTCCCCTTCTAATCAATTCGTTGGAGCAAAAACTCTTAAGCCCAGAGATCAGAATGGAAACTAAAATGAATGAGGTCAGAT